AGTTTCGGTTCGCTTGCGTTTGCGTCAAGCGCCGTTGTTCAAGTAAGAGAAGGTTGCTACGCGAAGTGGGTAAGAGGCGCGACAAGAGGTTCCCTACCCATGGTAAGCGGTCAGGAGACTCGAAGCCTCCGCTCATACCTCTTACCACTCATTTGTACCGTTGCCCTTCTGGTCTTGAAGTCTTCGTTCCTCGACGCCTGGAGATGTCCTTCGATCGTTTCTCTTTCTGGCCTAAGAATGTTGCCAGTACATCAGCCTCCCAGCTCCAGCGCTCGCAGCGCCTTTATACCCCCGGTCGTACGATGAGCATGCTCGATGGTTGTATGTTCCCCGGTCCTTGGCGTCTCGGTCTTGCCCTCAGCCAGCGTGTGAGCGATGCAGACTCCTACTGTGTCGCTGCGATAGCCCCATAGCCATCTGCTACAACGTCCGTTGGCGCATCGCCGCAGATGTCTCGGGAGGTGGTTTCCGAGATCGGTCGTACGGTGTCCTGCTTCGTGGCTTCTCAATCCGTTCGAGGTGTGGTAGCGTACGGCTGGAGCGCGCATTGTGCGGAAGGAGCGCCTGACTTTTCTCAAGTCTTCGAGGAAGGGCCAGGGGTCAGGCCGTGCATGTCGAGCATCTGCTGTCACAACACTGTCAGTCTTCGTAAGCCTACGTCTTCATCAAAGTCCTCAACCCTGGGAATACGAGTTGAGTGCAGGCCCTTCCGAAGGCGCTCCGAGGCCCAAAGGTAACAGTCTCTCCTGCCTTACCTGGAGTGGGTGTGAATGTCCCTTGTCTTCCTCAGTCTCTGCCCTTGTCTGCCCCCAATCACCGCTAGAACGGCGTTGTACGCCCCTTGCTCCACTTGGAGACTCCCGCGGAGTGCGTTGTGGCGAATGCGGCCTTCCGGTAGCCTTGAGAAAGGAGCTCTTCGCACGGATGGTCATGTGCATTTGCTCCGTCTTTTGGCAATACTGTCCCACACCCCTGGTTGGAGCATGTGTATTGCAGTCGTCGTGTCTGAGAGGTGCGAACGAGGCCGCCAGGTGACGAGAGATACATATGATCGCGGGGATCTCGTTCGAGGGGTCATCGCCGCCGTCGCGAGCAGGGAGCATTGCAGGCTATCCAATAGTTCCCTGAAGGCTTGCGAGAGTCAGCGAAGGCTCGCGAGCTGAGCGCTTGACCATCGTGTGCCGTACCGAGTGGTGTTGAAAACTTGCCGCTGCGCCGGATGTCTACGATGGGCGCAGGCTGTATGAGCGATACCTCTGCTGCGACGAGGGTGTTGAGTACCGTTTACGCTTGCCTGCTCTACGTCACGAGGCTGCTCGAGGTGGTTGCCGGCTTGGTGGGTGTCTTGCTGGATGCTGCCCGGCGCTGCCGCCGCCCCGGAGGTCCGCAAGAGAGGCAGATTGAACATCTGCAATGCCGCTTCTATTTGCAGGCGCTGGATGCTAGATCTCCCCCGAGCAATAGTATGTCGCTCGAGTGCGCAAAGGTGGCGTGGTGGTGGTGTTGCTGCCGTCGAGGGGAGGCAGTATCAAGCCAAACTTGCGCCAAGGCTCACCACCGAGCCATATGAGACGCAGCACCACAACAAGCTGCACTGAGGGCGATTGGGATAGAACTCTCGTGGAATCGAGGTCCAATTCAGCTCAACGTTGGCGCAGGGTGATCTGGTCAAGGAGATGGGAGGGAGTCAAGCTTGTGGTCACGGAGAGGAGTCTCAAGCGGCAGAGCAGCCACCCCAACAAAGTCGAACATCAGACGAAGCATTACAATGCAGACCTGGTGCTCCCCGTCGCCTAGAGGTCCCCTGCAACCCTGTCGTCGCCCCGCCTTAGCGAATCGCCCACGTCGCCGCCCCAGAATCCAAAATGCCATTGGACCCACCCAATCTGAGGTTCTTGGGGTATATATATCAATTAAAACCTCTATCTTCCATCAAATCACACCGGGCGACCGTTCTCGGTATACAAAACGAACTGGCCCAGCGGTCTAGGATCTGGTTAAGGTACGTCTTGAGTTTCTTTAGAGGTTCCGGCACACGACAACAACGACCCTGGTTCGAATCTGGCCGCCACCCATCAGGCGGGATACAAATATGATGGGCTAAGGTGCGTCGTGCTTGCGTGATCGTGACTTTGAGGTTCGGCAACGGTTCGGTTCGACAAAGGAGTAAGGGGTATACAGGCAGCTTCACAGTTAGCTCTCTGTATACTCAAGAACCTTTTTGCTTTTTGTTTTGCTCTTTTAGGTTCCGGCAACAGCAACGTGCAGTAAGTCAGTCCCCTAGGGAATTGGCTAGGCATTGGACAAGGCAGTAAGTAGATGTTATTTCTTTTTGTCTTTTTGTATGCTACATTGCAGTTATTCTTACATAGACATGTGTAGTAGGTTAAGAGCTTACGCTAGTCGTAGGTACATTTGTTGCTAGGTCGTCTCTTTTTGCCTTTTTAGCCAGCTCCGCTACGACGCCCTCGCTTTAGTGCACTGCTACACCTACCCCACAGCTATCTCTGGCAGCTACGAGAGCCTTCTCGACCTTAGGACGCACATCTCCTTGCCCATACTTCGCTCTTTAGCATGGCGAGCTTTTCAGGCTCCTGCAAAAGAGTCTGCGCTGTTGCGGTTGGCTTTACAGCTCAGCTTGCGGCATAACGCACTCCTAACAACGAGTCTGCTACTCCCACTATTATGCAACATGCTGGCACAGCTTCTGCAGTCTCGCGAGAAGCAAAGAAGATATTTTTGCGATGCGCTGCGCGTAGGGATGCGACAGCATACTGCGTTGACTGGAAAAGCCGCTTATCAAGTTCATGGGGCACTCCCGCGGCGCGCAAGAGCTCCTGTTATCCCGATCGCCATTATCAACATCCGACAAAGCCTCCACTAGAGGGCGGAGAAGAGCGACATAGTATTCGCAAGCTTTGGTGCACGAGGCAAGCTTTTCAGGCCTAAGACGAGCTTTGACATGGCTCGATAACACCTCTGTACATCTGGTGTTGTAGTCTACGGATATAACATCAAGTCCGGGGTTTGAATGCGCGGCGTAAAACAAATGCACCTCCCTCTAGAGTAGCGGCTTGTTCGATGACAGGACACATGCGAGCACCATAGGTGAGCTGCCGTCTCCGAAGGCAAGTCATATCGGGGTAAGTAGTCGTAGAAAAGCGCAGCAACGTACTTAGTATTCTTAGACAATCGCAAAGAGCACATGCAATACCACAAAGTCATGCTGAACCAAGCTTCAAGACAAACTAATTACGTGAAGAAAGAAGGGGTATATTGCATAGCGCGTCCAATGAACCAAAATACTACTACTCAACAAATCCCAAGTCTTGAATCACCCCTTGCTACATCCACCACGCATCATACGACTCCAGCGCCTGGAGCGCATGCGCGAAAAAACCCTATGTCCCTCATCTCCTCGCCTTCCCCACGCGACGTCAGCTCCTCTCTCCCGCGGCCAATGATCACTCCCGCAGTCGGACCGATTCACACACCCATCATGCACATGCAAGCCCCATGCGCGCCGGGACGCGCAAACCAAGTCCACTACATTGCGAAGCGCCATGTGCGGACTGAAAGCGATGATGCGCTCTTCGTCATCGGGGTCGAAATGAGGAAGTTGGCGTGGTATTGTAGTGATCAAGCTTTTTGGTGAAAACATTCTGGCGTTCTGGCGGTCTGATAGCGTGGTGGTAGTGCTGGTGGCGTCTTCTCCGTCATCACATGTCGAATTGTCTTCTAATCAGGACAACAGTACAGTAGGAGAGGGTAGAGGTTCAAGCCCGACGGCTTTTGCGACAGTACTTTTCTGTGAAGTCGGTTTCGAGGATGGCGTGTTCTGGGCTGGAGGGAGTGGGTGGTGAGAGATGGGCACACGTTTCTGGCATCTGTGTGTTGTTAGTCTTCGCCATTCTGCGTCCCTCGTCCGTGAACTTGAGGAGACCTACCGAGCAAGCTGAGTCCGAGCGCGGTCGAGGTTGCATGTGTGCTTGTGCTTCGAGGGCGCGCATTTCGTATGTATATGTTATGCGGAGGAGATCGTGGACTGTGAGGTGTGTGGTCGACATATTGAGGTTCGTTTGTTGATGGGATGGTGTTGCTCTTCTTCTCTTTCTTGCAAGCTGTGATTTCGACGTCGATGTTGATACTCAAAGTTGAAGTCGGTCCGGCGCTTTGTTTATATAATCCCCGTTCGTCCTGTTACGCCTCTTTTCGCTGCTTGCTCACAAACACGTATGCTGCGATTGGTCCGCAGAGATGTGCTTAGGTACACAAAGTTCTAGATGTTGCTCGGACGAAGACCTGTGCGTCTCCAGAATTGACAAAGACCGTGGCAAGACTGTGATTTTAATGGTTGTAAGCTGAGGTGATTGAATGAGGAACGATGGGAGCGACAACGTCTAGGGAAGCTTTATATCAAGAGCCGCCCCCTCACACCAACACCTCATGCACATGTTGTGCACACATCAGCTGGTGGCGCTAATGGTCAAACTGGACTAGTTTCACTTGCGACAGCGAACGAGATCCTCGGAGCCGACATGATGCAGCGGGCGGGGGTCTGTGCGCGTTCACTCTCGTTGGTGGGCATGAATAGCCGGGACATACGCTCATGTGTCCGACAGCGGAATCGCGGGTCGCGCTCTTTTGAGAGACCGATGTTGGCTGTTATGCTGTTGCCTGGTAGTGTGAGACGAAGATGAGGCGGGTTGGACATGCGGCTTTGATGGTTTCACCCGGGATGGCGCTGTTAACGCCGAGAGTCCCGTCGACATGTCCGAGATCACCGAGTAAGCCCTAGAGAAGAGCCAAGGCAGCAATTTTGGAGACGGTACAAGAGTTCTGGATTTGAGGTGACGGGGCATGTGAGAACACCAGAAGGACACGTTGAGGCGCTTCGAAGATGGACACGCTACCTTTGTGGATGCAGCCAGCGCCTCTTCTCTGCTCTTTCCCTCTATCTGCAACCACCGCTACCACTGCATCTACGCCTCCGTCTACGTCTACTTCTTCCTCCCCAACGCAATCAAGCGTCCCTGACCGTCAACAACAAAAACCTTCCCATTGCCAAACACAGGTCTTCCAAACTTCACCGCACCCTCCACCTTCGGCAGCGGCAGCTCAACCAACGTCCCATTGACCGGCACCGCCTTGAACGCTCTCAGTCCAGCCTGCACATCCGTGGCCCACACGATACCTGTGCCAGGCTGGCCTTTGTTGCTGGTAACTGTCGGGAGACCAGCACCACCCCAGTGTCCGTTCATGTCGGAGGATTTGCCAGCGAGGCTGAAGAGCGAGGACGATGCGTTCGGAGTGAATGCGTACGCGGATAGAGCGGTGTTGCCAGGGTTGACGTAGACATAACCGCCTTCTAGCGGATAAGATCCAATCGCACCAAAGACCTCGCCTTCTAAAAGAATGGTCTGCAGGATTCCATCCGTACCGTTTGTACCTTGCAGATACCCACCCAAGCTGTCAACTTCCGTCACGTACATCTTCGGATTCGTAGAGGTCGCTATACCTATCCTCTTTCCACTCTTAGTCTCGAAAACATCGCCATCAAGGACAGCAAACCCCCCACTTCCAATGTCCTGTCCAGAGTCCGTCTGCCAGTCCGACGGACGGAAGAAATCAACAAGTTGAATCCCAGCACCACCAGCCTCATCAAGAGTAATACGCGCCACGGTTTCCGAAAGAACACCCAACGACTCGTGACCCTCTCTCGGGGTGACATCAAGGGTTGCAGCCGTCGACCCGCCGCCATTATCAATCGTGAAGAACACGTCCTTGCCATCTGACGAGAGACCTGCGCCAGCCTGCCAGATGCCACCCGCGCCACCCCCATGCCATGCTGTCCAGTCGTCATTATACAAACTCGCGTTTCCTGCTTGCGTAGTCCAAGTATACGTATTCTGCGTCGCGAGATTGACAGCAACAACGCTTCCGGTGTAGTTGAACGCGTCGCACAGCCCGCCAAACCCCGCATACAGCACATCGCCCAGCAACAGCAGCGCGGGTCGCTGCAACACCAAACCGCCGAGAAACGTCTTGCGTATATCGTTGTCGGAGGGCTGGCCATCAATGATCATGGGGTATTTGTATAGATCCTGCAAAGTGTCTAGGTATACGCCGTAGAGATAGTAAACGGAATTCAGAGGCGGATACGCGCCACCTGGCTGTCTATAGTCCTCGATGTAGCTTTTGACATAGAAAAATGCGATTTCGTTGCCGTCTTCGCGGTAGATGACTGGCGTGCCCATTATGCCTAATGTTTTGCTGACGTGCGTCGTGCAATACGCTTGGTCCATTGGCCATGGTGGAGCGACTTGGCGCTCGTTGAGTAGCTGCCCGGTCTCTGCGTCGAAGGTTCTGATGCGATTCTCGGTGGACGCGGTGAAGACGATTTGGCGGCCGGTGGAGGAAAGCGTGTGAACGAGAGGGCGCGCCCAATGCTGTGGTGATGTTAATGGTGGGGAAGAGGTGAGGGGCAGTGATGGCAATTTACTTTCTCGTCCGGGTTGAAGGTTGCATTCCAGAGCTGTGTAAAATTTGGGAGGTCTGAGGGATCGATGTTGTGATCGCCGCCGAGATAGGAGGACTGGCAGATGTCGGAGTCTTGAGGCGAGTCGGAGGGTGAGCCTGTTCTTTGCGCCGTCGCAAACGTTACAGTACTAGCTAGAGAAACGCAGAGCGCAACTGCATACGTTAGTGAGCGCATCTTGGCGGGCGATACAGAGGGCAACGAAATGTCGCGCGCATAACGCGGACGCTGCAAGACTTATGAACAGGATGTATGAAGATCGCTTGGCCTCGCGGAGAACACATTGCATGCAGAGCCATGACGATAGTATCCGGGGTTTTTGATCGCTTTCAATCTAATAGTCGTGGCTCGTGGTCGGTACTTGGATCACGTAGATGCCGGGTATTCTCCGCAACCGGGTTGGCTATATCGTGTATATTAGTTTGTGGGGCAGAACGTCGAGCATCACCCGGAAACTCCATGTAGATCAACATCTTGATGCGCCCGAAATTTTGTTGGAGGAAGATTGTATGTTCATTCTGATGCTAATTGATACGATAACTGTAGATGATGACGTCAGCGCAGCCCTGAGTAGAGTTGACTAGCATGACTTACCTTTTGCGCCGCTTTTACTATGCCGCGAGGGTCCCTCAGAACCCCCGCGTCATAGAAGGCTGGGCTGCCTTTCTCTATTGTTCCCGTTGCGGGCTGGGCTGTCTAGACTGTTCCACGCTAGGAACTTGGTCCTCCACCCGCTGCAACAGCGGTACACGTTCCGCTTCTACGGCATCACCTCCCTCAGCATCGGGATAGTACATCTTCTTCCACTCGCCCTTACCCACTTTGCCAACCCTCCATGTTCCTTGCTCACCCGCCTCTTTGAAGAAGTCCATGTTCTCGTCGAATGTCCTGCCACCAGTCTCCGGGAGATAGAAGTACGTCCATAGTCCAGCGAAAGCATTGGTTGCAGCGAAGACGACAAAAATCCAGTAGTCGAGGTTGTTGAACAGGACGGGCGTGAGGAAGGTAATGGCGAAGTTGGCAAAGCCCCAAATGATGACGGAGATAGCGGTGCCTTGGGCGCGAGCGGTGGTCGGGAAGACCTCAGTGGGGAACAACCACACGGTTGAGAGCCAGCCGATTCCGAAAGCGCCGGTGGCGACGAACAAAATTACGGTTCCAATGATTCCGGGGACGATAATGGGAATGTTCATGGGCTCAGAGTTTGCTGCTAAGCCACCGAAAACACCGAGAAGTGCGAAAGAAGTGGCAAGGATGACAGAACTGTGAATCATAATCTTGCGTCGGCCCATAGCATCGATCAAGAGCCAAGCGAGCGTCATGAGGAAGAAGTAGGACACGTAGTTGCCAAGGGTGAGGTATTCAGAGTTGCGGACTGAGAAGCCTAGGAGCTGTTTTCACATGTTAGTATTGAGCCAAACCGCACCACTCTGATCATAGACACAACTTACCTCAAAGATCTGCGGCCCGTACACACTAACTGCACCGTAACCCGTAAGCGCCTGGTTGACCTGGCACATCACTGTGACCATAGTAGGATGGAACTGCTCGTGGCCGGGGGTGAGCATATCCATGTACCCAACCTTGATATCCTTCTCCTTCTCGTGCTGTTCAAGTAGCTCATCAAGCTTCTCCTTGCCCTCATCTCCATAGATGTCGTCCAATGCCTTCTTCGCATCATCTTGGCGGTCATGGAAGATGAACCAACGCGGTGATTCCGGAAGGCGTTCGACAAATGCCATCAACAGGACGGGGTAGACCTGCATGACAATGATAGGGACGCGCCATGCCCACTGGTTTTGCTTTCCAAGGAGGATGGTGACGAGCAAGTTGATACCAAACGCCATTACGAGACCGAAGATGTTGGACTGGAATTCCTGGGCCAGCGCTTTACCACGAGAGTCGTCGGCGCTCAACTCGGAGGAGTAGGTGGGAATGACTGCGTCGATGCCTCCAACGCCCAATCCCATCACCACGCGTCCAGCAAGCATAACGCCCAATGCGATCTCCGTGCTCTTTCCCAACATGCCCATTCCGGCTACGAACATGATCAGATTTCCCAAACTAGCTGTTGCCAGACTGGCAAAGATGCTCTTCTTCCTTCCCAACTTATCAGCGAGCATGGAGAAGAGCACAGCGCCGACAGCGCAGCCGAGGTAGTAAACCGCTACGATCACACCCACGACTGGTGACTCCTCCTCGAGGCCCATGGTGGATAGGTAGTCATAATTCGTGTTGATGAGGGACATCATTCCCTGGTCGTACCCATAGAGGGCAATGGCCGTGGCCGAGAAAATGACGACATTGGTTTGTTTGTCGGTGACGGCCTGTTTCGCATGTTCGACGATGAACGACATCGTGGCTGTTGCCTGGATGCGAAGACGAAGCTCCGCGGAAGGTCAATCTGCGAAAGTAGAGGCTCGTAGAAGGTGCACAGCAGCAAGAAGAAGCTGAGGAGGGGAGGAAAGTCTAGATCTTCAACATCCTACAAGCCACAAATCGCGGTAGACGTTTGGCGCTACTGTGCATGTTTCTTGGTCAGCTGGGAGAGGGTTGTTTTTTAACGTATGACGAGTGTATGCAGGGACGCGATGTCGATCTGAGACTAGGTGCTGGGTGAGCCCCGCCAGTTTTCTAAGGGGTCCTTTGCTCGCGACGGGCTCCCGTCGGCTCTTTGCTCTTGATCTTCATTTCTTGATTAGACTTGATAGACGCGTCTTCGCGTGCCTTTCCAGTAGATACCACAAGAACATGTAGCGCACCATGCAGCTTGCAGCCAAACCGTTATTGTGCAGCTGCTAAGCTTCAGATCCGCGGCATAAGATCCTTAGCGCCACCAACCATTAGCGACGTCGCATTCGATCGATCGCATTCTTCTGCCTCACGACATCATCCTCAACTGTTCGCTCACCGGGTCTCGAAAAGATCAGTCACCGCTTGTTCAGATATCCCATGCAACACAAGAGAAGGAACAAGGCATTGGAAGTGTCTCGTTCATTGTTATTTTCAGAAACGACGTCATGAAGAGTGGTTAGAGCCCTACTAGCGACTGCCATCTGCGCCTTGCATGCTTTTGGAGGAGTCGGCGTACCCACCAGGCGTATCCGTAAGGCCGCGCGCACCGATCGCTCTCATTCTCACATCCTTCTACTCTGTTATCTCAGACCCCGCTCAAGCCTTTGCTGAAGCCTCAACCTCGAGAGTCGATGTGGAGGTCTGGGTAGCCTCCCAAGCTTCCCACGCTTCGAACAAAGCTTGTTTTGGGACGCAGTGTGCAACACGACCGTCCGAAACGCACTTCCAACCCTTACCGCAGTCGGCAGACCACTGCCAGTAGGATCCAGACTGCTCGCAAGTGACAGTCCATTCCGTCTGAGTCGCGTTGTTATAGGCGCAGTTGAACGCTCCAGGTGAGCAAGACATAGATGGAGCCAGCTCTGATGGGACTTGGAGAAGCTCGTCGCGGGCTCCAATGGTAGGCTTCGCATCCGGCTTACAGTGGGCAGATTTCCCGTCAGCTGCTAGATCACAGGTCTGTCCCTTACCACAGTCGGATGACCACAGCCTGCAGAGGTAGAGGTACCAAGTCAGTACATGTATCAAATACACTTCGTAGAACAAAGAACTTACCAGATTCCTTCTGAAGAACAAGTAATTACCCAGCTGGTTCCTGTGGCAGAGTTGAAGCCGCAACCGAATACTCCAGGCTCACAGGACAGAGATGGAGCAGCACGCGATGAAACTTGGGATGGTTCATCGCGAGCTCCATTTGTCGTGTCCCACTCTGGTCCTGGGTTCCAGCAATGCGCGGCACCATTGGATAGCGCGAGGCACTTCAAATCTCCACAGTTGGCAGATTGCACCCACTTGCCCCGGTAGTCGCAGGTCATGATCCAGGTACCCGTTGATTCGTCCTCGTGGCAGGAATAGGTCCCAGGCATGCAGGAAGCCTCACGCTTGGCGGCTGCTGGATCCGTGTTCCACTCCGGTCCCGGGTTCCAGCAATGGGCGGCTCCATCGGATCGCTCGAGGCACTTCAAATCTCCGCAGTTCGACGAGTACTGCCACGCACCCTTGTAGTCGCAGGTCATGACCCAGGCACCCGTTGACGCGGATTCCAGGCAGGTATAGGTTCCAGGCGCACAGGTAGGATCACGCTTGGCCAAAGTGTCCGACTCGACGACGGTGGGGGCCTGAAGGCTTTTGTTAGCAATGTGCTATTGCGGGAGAGTGATGTAGTGGTCAGGGGTGGAAAGAATTCGTGTCGCAGTTTGCAGTATGCATGCAACTAAATCTTAACAAGTACACACTTGCTAAGATGATGTACACTTCAACCTAGAAAGATCTGCGACATAAATTGTAGCCATCGGAGGTGAGATGGGAGCGAACCCGAGCCTGGAACTCAGATCTCTTCGAGCTCAATGAGAATACAGGAGAGTGCTTACATTGCTAGATGCGTCCTTGGACCGTGGAGGTGCCTCAGTAATGTCGGCGTCGTCGACGTCTCGGTCGAACATGCTGGGCTTCTTGCAGCAGTTGCAGTTGTCGCGACACTTCCATCCCTTCTTGCAGTAGTGGTCGGTTTGGCAGAAGCCATACTGGCAGACCAAGACACCAGTGCGATCCTTGGCGCATTCGTAGGTCTTCTTGTCCTCGATATGAATATCCGAATCGACGTCACGCTTCTCGGATGTACCGGGCGAGCACTCAGCACCTCGCTCATTCGCGATGCATTTGACCAGGCAATACTCAATGGTAGCGCAAGCGGCGTTGACGGGACAGGCGAGGATCCACTCATCTTTAGTGCAGGAATACCTGTAGCGACAAGATTAATGATCATTCCTTGGTGAACGATGGAGTTTACTTACTTGACGTCGTCGTTGCTCAAGTGCATAGCTGAAGGGCCACCAACATCTCGATCCTCAACACTGGTAGCAGTCGCCGAACCGGTACACCAAGCACCTTTGGTGTTCTTGGCGCACTTGAAGGAACACTCCTCGATGAAAGAGCAGGTGCCCGAACGGAGGCAAGAGAGGACATATTTGTCGCTGTCGCACTTGTACCTGTTGGCAGTCAGTATACTACCCTCTTACAGCGTGAACGAAAGGCGAGGCGACTTACGTGTGAACATCATCGTTCTCGTACACAGAAGCCGCAGCAGCGGTGGTAGTCTCGACCGGCGAGGCAGCGACGAGCGCCACCAGCCCAGTGAGGGCGACAGTGGTGAGCTTCATGGAAGCGTACTTGAAGGTACTGTCGTCGTAGTTGTGTGTGATATAGAGAGTGTGGAGGGGTTGATGGTGGAGAGGGGTGGTGGGGGAAGGTGATGGAAAGGGGAAGAGAAGAAAGGCGGGCTTATATGGAGTAAGGCGAGAGAGCAGCTGCAGGCGTTTGCTATCCCGCTAGGCAAAAGCTGTTGGGAGGCGATACTCACCTTGGGCCTTTCAGGGTCCGACTTGCGGAGCGTGAGTGTTCGTTGGGTGCCCAGGTGGGGCAGTGGACTGGTGAGATTGGTGAGATAGTGAAGGTGGAAGGAGCGAAGTGCACGCAATCTGTGCTCTGCACCCACCGATCGAACCACCGCACTGATGAACGAGTGAAGAAGCCAAATGACAGTATGACCGGGCGGCATGTAGGAGTTCAAGCATCAGGGATTCTAAACAGCAAAAACAATACACGCGACGACATCTCAAGCAGCTCTGCAGTATACGTCTACACTATTGAACGCAGAAGCACAATTAAGACCGCATTACTTACCCATCGAGTAACTAAATTACTACGGCAGTATGATGTATCAACTCTAGGTACCTTCTCACATTGCTGGACCCTACCGGGTAGCGTTGGTGCTCACACGTCAAAATAGGCAAACGCAGCTCATATAGAGTAGCAAGACTCACGCAAATCAGGAAAAATACTGTAGCTTGAAGAAAAGGAAATGCTTTTGATTTATCATAAGGATGCAGCCAGACGTTCAAAATCTATCGGTGACGCAAATGCAGTCAATCATCCAGGCCTCTATTAAACGCCGAGCAATGCAAATCTGCATAGTCTAAGATATCATAATGCGATCATAATCCGAAACAGTTGCAACAACATCTACTCGGCCTCGTCATCAGTGTTGGGTGGCTGAGGAGTACCCTAGTGAAATGTTAGTAATCTGCATCGATGTGGGTGGAATGGGAAAAAACATACCTTGGGGCTGTTCAACCAGTCAATGTACCTCAATCTACGCCTGACCTCACGGTCCTTGAGCTCCTTCTTGGTCATCTTCTTCTTCTTCCTCGACCTGAACTTCATATCGTCCTTGTTGCCCTCGGCGTCACTCATGACTGGAGTACCGGTGGTGGACGGGGCAGCGGAGCTCACGTTGCTGCTAACATTGCTGGATCCGGGGCGCGAGTCCTCGAAACGGTCCATGTTGACGGCAAGGTGGCCCTTGTGCGTGACGCGACCGTCGGCGACGTGCCACTGCTCGGGGCAGAGAGCACCGACGAATTCTTCGTTGTGCGAGATCATGATCACACCACCCTTGTAGTCGCGGATAGCAACAGCGAGACCACCGAGAGAGTCGCGGTCCAAGAAGTTAGTGGGTTCGTCCAAGACGAGAAGATGGGGGTTGTTCCACATGGCACCGGCAAGCACGACCTTGACCTTCTGTCCTCCGGAAAGGCCAGAGATCTCATTGTGGTTCGCAATCTCGGGATCCATACCGAGATCCTCGAAATGCTTGGAGATGACCTTGGGCTCCAAGACACGGTAACCGAGACCCTCACGCGACGACTCGTGATCGTCGAACTCCTGGACAAGCTTGGAGAAGCCCTTCTCGAGAAGCGTCTCACGCGAGATCTGGGTGTTGTATTTGGGCAGCATGTGCAACCACTTGACCTCGTACTGGAAGGTCTTCTTGTACTTCGCACGACCAATGAGTGCCTCGATCCTACGGGGGCCTGAGCCGTCGCCTAGATCGATGGGAGTTTCCATCTGCTTCTTGTCTTCCTCGCTGAGCACACGTGTCTGCTTCATGAGCACCTCACGATCGTCACCGTTGGCGTAACGCCATTGGAGGTACTGGTTGGGAGTCTTCTCCATGTGCATCTCGACGTGCTCAAGAGCGTGCTGCTTGATGTAACCGATACGCAAGTTGGGGTGCTTCTCGACGGTACCTTCTTGAGGGACGGTCTCGCCAGTAAGCATCTTGATGAGCGTAGATTTACCAGCACCGTTGGCACCGATAATGGCGACTCGGGATGACAGAGACAAGTTGCAAGAAGCATCGGTGAGCGATGGCTTGGAAGCGCCAGGGTAGGTGTAGGAGCAGTTTGTCATGCGCAGGATGGATCGAGTGTTCGACTTGACA